CTCAATGATTATACGTCACTGCTAGCCCCTTCCTGGCCGTTCGGAGCTCCAGCTGGCCCCGCCTCCGAGCTCGGGACAGCCTGGACCTCCCATCGGCTAGCGAACCGAGTGCATCAGTGTCGAAACGATGGGCGCACCGGTAGATTTTCGATGGATACAGGGTATTTCCGGGGTCGTATTTAACTTTGCCGCATCGTTATTAGAAAGATAATGACAATGGAATTTCCAGGTTTGCAAGGGAACACCCTGTAGACGAGATACTACCGTTACCTAATCGCTTTTGGACACTGAATCACTGTGGTCCCCGATAATCTGGACCAGGTCGGATATATATATAGCAGGCTTAGCCGTTGCATGCACTAACAAACCACCGACCCTGCCTACGTACTTGTTTGTTGTAACTCGAACAAACGAATGAGCGACGATTCACTCGTGTCGTTCGATCATTGGTGCGAGGGAACTCAGTGGCGCATAGATTTAACCTCGATCTATCGGTGTCTCGGTTCGAAGCCAGTGCAAAAAAGATACCCGTGTATAGACGATATATCAAGTGGTACCAGCGCTTAGCACTTGTCTGTATCACTCTATCGCTGGAGCTATACTTAACCGTCTTTCTTTCTGTCTGTCTGTCTGTCTGTTTGTCTGTTTGTCTGTCTGTCTGTCTATCTATCTATCTATCTGTCTGTTTGTTTGTCCGTCCGTTTGTCTATCTTTCTTTCTTGCTTTCTTTCTGTCTATCTTTCACTCTTGTGTTTCTTTGTCCGTTTCTCTCTCTCTCTCTCTCTCTCTCTCTCTCACTCTCTCTATCTCTTTGTATTTCTTGTATATTATCTTCTATGTTGTTGTTTTCTCTCGAGACCGTTTCCTCGTTCTCTCTCTCTCTCTCTCTCTCTCTCTGTGTGTCCATCTCTCCCGTCACATTCGTCCACCGCCATCGCACGCATACACGGAGCCAAAAAGAGACAATAATACTTTCCTCGAAATCCAGGAACTTGTCTTTCTTTTTCTGTTTCTCTTTCACTTTCGGTCTCTGTGCGCTTAGGTAACAAATCTCACCTCCTCCTCCACCTCCATCAAACTCGCAACGAGGATAAGGAGATCCGGTTGCTAATCATTCCAGAGAGCTATCGAAGGATAACTCGGTGCTCGCATCGAATCCGTGTGCCGTGCAACGACCGGGGACGCCTCTGTGCTCTCGCCTCGCCCACCCGGCAACTATAGCCCCCCCCCACCCCCCTCTTGTCCATACAAAACTACCGTCCATACAAAAACAAAGACCTGCGATGTATCCACCACGTCGACCCGCACCGACACACGCACTCAGAGACACGCACGGTGTTGGGGGTATCGTTTCTCTACATCTCGCCCAATGTTTTTAATCTTCTGCATTCGCTTTGTTCAAGCTTCGCAATCGACTACTGTCGTGCGTAGGACGTGTTACGTAGAGACGTAGCCGCGATTCTCGAACTTTGATAATAACCCGTCCGAGTCCCTCCGACAGGTAAAAAGGGAGGAGATGACGCCGCAGCATCGCTGGCCGATCGATCATCGCGGTCGTGCCTCCATCGATTCCGGAATCGATCGATCGAAATCCGCCCAAGATCGCCCAGTGGAGAAGCAACGAGCTGGGAGATCAGTAACCGATATCCCGTCCGTCCCCGCCCCTCCGTCTCCGTGACCGTCTCTAGACTCGTTCGGCCCCGGTCCCACCCACCCACGGTAACTCCCCCCTCCCACATCCACAAGAAAACCCGACCACCTCCCCAGTTTTTCTTCATCTTCACTTCTGTTTCTTTTTTGTGTTCTCTTGTCTTGTTTTTCGTTCCCGTTCATTGCTATCCCCTGATAAGTACAAAAGTATCTCATCATCTCCGCCATCACACGAACCATGTACCGAGTGTCTCGAAACACAGAAACAGAGAAATCGGTTTGTGTACAGAGCGCACCGTACTGGGCGGCACCGAATCGGCCAGGGCGCCCCGCCCATCGATTTCTCTCGACTCCTCCCATCGCTGGCGGGTCCCGCCCATTACGGCACGCTCTTTACACACACGTGTATATATAGATTTATATATATATTTATATAGAGATAGAGATATACATAGACACGTAGACATACATGGACACTCCACGCGGGCACACACAATCTTCACACTTGTACACGCTTTTCTACAAGTGTCACTCGTTTCCGTTCTATCAGCAGAATACGCATTTATCGCTCACTCTGTCTGCATTGCACCTCATCGCATCCCCTCGTTCGTTGGCTCATTCTTTTCACGCCGTATAAACATTATTTTCTTCTATATGTGTATGTTTGTGTACCGGCTGTTTCACGAACGAAGCAGGTAGGTTGCAAGGTGGCGAGCATGCCGGAAGCTACAGCTTTTCCGCTGCTAATCTATCGAATCTAAAGCGTTCTGCCTATCCGCCTGCACGCTGCTCGGATCACCGCCGTTTTAGAGAATCCATTCTAATCGAGAGTCGAACGGCGGGAGCAGTGTGCAAGCAGTTGTTAATTGTTCACGCCACTGAGACAGCCTGTACGCATATCTCTGTCCGTCTGCTTTCCTTTCTCGGCCATTTCCGATCACCGTTACGCCGCCGCCGATCGAACCTCGTTAACTAATACACGGAAACTATCTAACGAGAAAAAAGAAACTCTAAAAGAAAACTGAAAGATCGATTATGCCAGCAGCATCGTCGACACATCGTTAACTATCTGTTACATATAGAGAGAGCGTGGTCGTTAGGTGTCCAAGCTAAGGAGCGAGGGGAAACGTGTAAAAACCGTCGAACGAACCGAAAACAAAAGCGAAAAAACTATATCAAAAACCCATAAGTACACACTCACACGTAAATGATTAAATAATATAAATTACAATTAAAAGCGAAAACGAAATAAGCGAAAACAAAAAAAAAGACAGAAGCAAAAAAATAAGAAATCGGGGTGCAGTGCGTCGAGGAGCCGGCTCAGCGAGAGCTTTTGACCAATTCAACGACGTCGCGTAAAAGCGAGACGTAAAATAAACCAAGTAACAACTAACAAACAAAACAAAAAAAAAAGAGTGTCCAAAGTAATTTAACAGACAAAAAAAAAGTAATCCAATCTCAAAAAAAAAAAAATCTACTTTGATTATAGACCAATATGTGTAACAGGGATCGAGTGATGAAGAATTGGTTTCATGTTTTTCAAAAACAGATGGGGCCGCGGCCAGCCGGATGATATCGGTGCGATCGATCTCGGAGATGAGAAATTCGACCCTGACTCGGATAAAAAGCCGCGCAAAGGACAAATTCTATGGCTCCGTGGTCTAACACGACTACAGACACAGGTAACTATCCCTATCTCTCACTCTCATGCCATCACTCGAAGCTCAGCGTTCTCTCGGGCCCCGCCCCCTCTAACCCCGCCCACCCACCACCCCCCCCGTCCCCGGGTTAAAAAGAGAAAAGAATACTCTGTATAACGAATTGTCGAGAAAAAAACACGATAAAGAGAAGGACGTTGATAAAATAGTTGTCGTCGTCGTCGTCGTTGTCGTCGTTGTCATCGTCGTTGTCATCGTCGTTTACATCGTTCTCGTTGTTGTCGTCGTTATAGTCGTTGTCGTTGTCAACGACTCCTCTCTACCACCGGGGTACAACGTTCTTTCGACCATCCGAATTGCAACACGTCCAACAGACCACCATAAACCGTCCTCGATTTTTTACCATGATCGCTCGCGCAGGGTAAACTCCGGATAAAACAGGATCGTGCTTGTGTTTGCGTGCGATTCGTACCGGAAACAGCTGTCTGTCGACGTCCTAACATCCGGAGGATATCCTGTGCAAGCTCTGCGACGAGTACGCGCAAATATACAGGGTGAGTTGCGAGAAACCGTGTCCGTATAGATTGCCTCCACGTGGTCGAATCGAATACAGAGATCCGTTTCCAGCGACACCCCCGGTATACTCTTCCATACGAGCCCTTTCGTTTCCGTTTCAGTCGTTTACGCGTTGTTCGCCTTGGTTTGCATTTTTGGTTGAGTTCTTTGCCGTGCTAAAGCGACCGCGCATTTCCCGTCGACGACCCGGTGAACCGCCAACTTAGGCCACGCCCCTCTTCTCGCACCGCCCACCCGATGTATGATGGCCACGACAACGTGCCTGGCCCTTACCAGTTTAATCTTTCTTTTTTTTTAAATCGTTAGCTAGACAAAAGAGGAGAACGTTGGTCAGCTAGTTTCTCGAGCACGGACTCGGAATCGAGTTCTCTACCTAGAGTGCTTTCCTCTAGGTCTCGAAAGAGCCTCGCGTTTTCGAGAATCTCCACGGCGGTTCGGGTCTTGTCGAGCGACCTTTGCCTTGTTCGGCGGACCTTTGCCTTGTTCGGCAGACCTTTTTGAGATTCAGGGCGAAAGCAGATCACCGGATTCCCCAGCCCATCCCCAGGCCTTCTAAACCGATAATCGAGTCGCTCTTCCCTGAATCTCCGAGCCTTGTTCGCTGCTAGGACGTTCGAACGTGATCCGAATCGAGGCGCTACTCCGAGTAGGCTCTATTCTTGTATCTACGAAGAGATTCGTCGTCTCCCAGGGAATCGAGTCTGAACGGCGCGCGTTCAACCTTCGCGAATCGTTTCTACTAGCTCACCCGAGCATCGGCGAGGCTCTTCTACTCGACCTGTACACTACTCGTAGAACGTTGTCTGGCCAGTGTCGGCCGTTTCCACTCGAGACAGCTCGCCGTGTTCGCAGCAAGTAGAACACCGTCGAGCATCGGTCGGACATCGAGTTGTCGAGATCGATTCCCTCTCAGACAAGATCGACTCGATGGAAGTTTAATGTGGAACGAGGCCGGCTTAGGAATCGATACTCGAGCGAGAGTCGGATAAAGGACGAACAGCAGCCCTTCCTCGTCGATGGCGACCGTGCGTTTTCCGTATTTTTCGATGTGTTTGTTTTCTCCGGTTCGTTTCGGTTCGTTTTCGAGGGAACACGGGTTATGGGGGAACACCTGATGAAGCTAGCGCATACTTGACCGAGCTCGCGATCGTGCGCGATCGATGGATCGACGCTGTCGCGGGCAGCCGGTCGATCCTGGTTCGTCGAAGACGTCGCGTGCTCGATCGCGACGGCGGGATCGTTCTTTTTACCGTATCCCGGAGCTCGGTGATCGAGCTCGCGACCAATCTACACTCTCTTTATTCCGTTACGACTTGTACTTTCACTTTCTCTTACTCTTTATTTCCTTTCTTCTTACTCTGATGTGTAAACCACTCTTAGTCTCTTTTGTTCTCTCGAGAACATGGGGACGAAAGGATAAACGCGAAACGTAACGCGAAAGCGCAAGTAAGGAGAGAGAAATGTCTGCGAGAAATATACACGGGTTTCTCTAGTAAGAACAAAACAAAACAACAAGCAAATTAATTCATCAACGACCCGGTTAAGCTAATGATGTAAATTGAATGTGTAACCTACTTTCAGACGAGCAATAGAACTCTGGTGCAGAATGTATCTGTGACAGGCAGATCCCCCTCTCAGGATTACTATATGGTTAGTCCGCAACTCCAATCTCCGCACTGTTTGACCGTTCTTAAATATTTATTGATTTTTTTCTATCTATCTATCTATAATCTATCTATCTATCTGTCTGTCTGTCTATCTATCAATCTATCTACATATATGTTTGAGTTTCCATTAACCGATTTACGCCTCTGATCATACACAGTTTGGTTGTTCCTTTTTCAGTTGACTCTCCTTCTCACAAGTATTGCTTTCCAATTTCCGTTCTCTAACCGCTCTCATTTTTCTGATTTGATTATTCTCTCACACGATACTCTTCTTTTTCTTTCTCGACTCTCTCTCTCTCTCNTATTCTTGTATCTACGAAGAGATTCGTCGTCTCCCAGGGAATCGAGTCTGAACGGCGCGCGTTCAACCTTCGCGAATCGTTTCTACTAGCTCACCCGAGCATCGGCGAGGCTCTTCTACTCGACCTGTACACTACTCGTAGAACGTTGTCTGGCCAGTGTCGGCCGTTTCCACTCGAGACAGCTCGCCGTGTTCGCAGCAAGTAGAACACCGTCGAGCATCGGTCGGACATCGAGTTGTCGAGATCGATTCCCTCTCAGACAAGATCGACTCGATGGAAGTTTAATGTGGAACGAGGCCGGCTTAGGAATCGATACTCGAGCGAGAGTCGGATAAAGGACGAACAGCAGCCCTTCCTCGTCGATGGCGACCGTGCGTTTTCCGTATTTTTCGATGTGTTTGTTTTCTCCGGTTCGTTTCGGTTCGTTTTCGAGGGAACACGGGTTATGGGGGAACACCTGATGAAGCTAGCGCATACTTGACCGAGCTCGCGATCGTGCGCGATCGATGGATCGACGCTGTCGCGGGCAGCCGGTCGATCCTGGTTCGTCGAAGACGTCGCGTGCTCGATCGCGACGGCGGGATCGTTCTTTTTACCGTATCCCGGAGCTCGGTGATCGAGCTCGCGACCAATCTACACTCTCTTTATTCCGTTACGACTTGTACTTTCACTTTCTCTTACTCTTTATTTCCTTTCTTCTTACTCTGATGTGTAAACCACTCTTAGTCTCTTTTGTTCTCTCGAGAACATGGGGACGAAAGGATAAACGCGAAACGTAACGCGAAAGCGCAAGTAAGGAGAGAGAAATGTCTGCGAGAAATATACACGGGTTTCTCTAGTAAGAACAAAACAAAACAACAAGCAAATTAATTCATCAACGACCCGGTTAAGCTAATGATGTAAATTGAATGTGTAACCTACTTTCAGACGAGCAATAGAACTCTGGTGCAGAATGTATCTGTGACAGGCAGATCCCCCTCTCAGGATTACTATATGGTTAGTCCGCAACTCCAATCTCCGCACTGTTTGACCGTTCTTAAATATTTATTGATTTTTTTCTATCTATCTATCTATAATCTATCTATCTATCTGTCTGTCTGTCTATCTATCAATCTATCTACATATATGTTTGAGTTTCCATTAACCGATTTACGCCTCTGATCATACACAGTTTGGTTGTTCCTTTTTCAGTTGACTCTCCTTCTCACAAGTATTGCTTTCCAATTTCCGTTCTCTAACCGCTCTCATTTTTCTGATTTGATTATTCTCTCACACGATACTCTTCTTTTTCTTTCTCGACTCTCTCTCTCTCTCTCTCTCTCTCCCTTTCTCTCTCTCTCTTTCTCTCTCTCTCTCTCTCTTTTTCTCTTAAGCTTAATTTTGTTTAATTTGTTCTCTCTTTAACAGCCTCTCCGTTTCTGTTACAGCCCCAAAGTTTTCTGTTTTCATTTCTTCTGGTTGGTTGTCTGCCTCTTTCCGACGTATATCTCTCTCGCGCGCCGCCTGTTTATCTCGCTATTACCGTTCACGTCGCAGTTTTGCTTGCGAATCGCGAGCTTCTACTCGCTTCATTTTTGTTTGTTACGCCGCGCCGGCGAAGCACAGCGAAGAGATATATTTACCAATGATTTCGCACCATCACACCTATACTCGACAACCCCGATTCCTCCGAGGAAGATTATCTGTTCGACGAGAGCACCGCTGTCTATCTGGTCTACAAACAGGAATAGATTCGTTTGAATTCTAGATTCACCGTAGAGGTGACAGCCGAACAGATATTCCTGATCCTCGGAGCAAATTTGTCCTCGACATTGCTTTGTCTCCTCTGTATACAACACGTTCAACTTGCCGATCAAGCGTTCATCGACTGTACAATATACCACACCAAGCGCTGACAGCCTGTTTTGCTTTCGGTGTGACAAACTATTTCTAAGGACAATTTACAGTGAATTTTTCCAGTGACTAAACTCGGACGGTATACTACTCTAGGCGTGCAAGGTCGTCGAGGACTCGAGTTGAACGTGTTGATGCACTGTATGCCATCCACGCAGCCCCCTAAAATCGTTCGAGTCTTTATCTTTGACAAGCCGAGGGGAGTTACCTTCGCGGAACTGCAATTATTTCTATTGGAAACGGTTAAAGAAGTCGGCAGAAGTTGTTTACTTGTTAGAAACATAGAAAAGGATGGCATACAAAATACCTTCCTCCCCTAACCGAAGAGAAAAAACCCACCGTCAAGACCCCATTTTCTTTTCGTCAACGTGACCCACCCGGTCCAGCCTCACCCGTTTTTTTCTTTGGTCCCCCCTTTTACGTTGGATTCTGAGGTGTTGCATGCACGTCTGTGCGTCTGTATGTACGTATACAATTCGCCCGTATATACGTTCATATACGTAGATATATGTAAATATACACACGTGTATGTGACCATGCATGCACGTATGTGTACGCGTATATGTATGTGTGTGGGTATATATGT